TGTAGCCCAAAAGGGAGGACGGTGTACTGGAATAGCCCGCCCGGGGTGGAGAATGCTGTCTTTTCTTTAGCTTCTTTCATCAGGGGAATCTGGGAATACCCTTTTGTCAGATCCAATGTAGTCAAGAATCGGACACTACCCAGGTCGGTCAACCAGTTCGTCGATGCGAGGTATGGGGTATGCATCAAATTGGGATACTTCATTCAGTTGGTGAAAGTCATTACAGAATCTCATAGAACCGCCAGGTTTAAGCACTAGAACGACTGGACTGGACCACTGACTGTAAGATTCTTCAATAACCCCTAATTCTAACATTTTCTTTACTTATGCCTTGATTTCTTCTCTTTTGGCTGCTGGGATTCGGTAGGGTCTCAATGTTACCTTGGCTCCGGGGATCATGCGGATATGGTGATAAGTCTCAGTCGTCCCCCCCCCGGTTTTGTAGAGAACACATCTCGGTTGCGATTAATCATGTCAGCTGCCTCGATCTTTTGGATCGGCATCAAGTCGGGTGATATCCTCACTTGCTTGTATAAGTTATCCTCCTGGGAAATGGTCTCCTGGGTGACTAAGCATGCCTCTCCATCATGCCAAGGTTTTAGAAGATTGATGTGGTAAATTTACTCCGATTTCCTGCGGCCTGGCTGCCGGACTTTGAAGCCATGGGAGAGGTGAACTATAATCACTTTGTAGGGTCCCTGCCACTGGGCCAACAGCTTACTTTCTGCTGTGGGCACCAGGACCATCACTCGATCCCCTGGTTAGAACCATCGAAGCTTTGCTTGGTGGTTATAATGGGTTCGTTGGGTCTCCTGTGCTTTCTCCAAGTGTTCCTGTACAATGGGCGTAACTCGGGCTATCCGATCCGTCATCTGCAATACATGCTCGACTATGTTCCTTCCGGGATTTGGCTCCTTTTCCCAGGCTTCTCTGGCTATATCCATTATGCCCCAGGCGTGGCACCCATATAGTAGTTTGAATGGAGAGAAATCCGTGGAGGCTTGTGGAACCTCCCGGATGGCGAACATGAGGTAAGGCAATAGGGTATCCCAATCTTTCCCATCCTGGCTCGCCACTTTCCTGATCATGGCCTTGAGGGTCCTATTGAACCTCTCCACAAGGCCATCTGTTTGCGGGTGGTATACAGAGGTCCACAGGACTTGTACGTGGAGCAATGAACAGAGATCTTTCATCAACTTGGACACGAAAGGTGTCCCTTGATCAGTCAATATCTCCTTGGGTAGCCCAACCCAGGAAAAGATCTGTACTAGCTCCTTAGCTATTGTCTTGGAAGCCGTGTTGCATAGGGGGACGGCTATGCATATCGGGTTGCATAGTCTATTACAACAAGCACATGTCGGTGGCCCCTAGCTGTCTTCTCTAGGGGCCCAACCAGATCCATGGCTATGTGTTCAAATGGTACCTCTATTATTGGAAGAGGTATCAAAGAGGCCCACAAATGTGGGTGAGGGCTATGTAGCTGACACTCTGGATAAGAGGTGCAGTATCGCCAGACATCTTTGTGTACTCCTGGCCAGAAGAACCTCCGCAGGATCCGTGCCTGGGTTTTCTCTACCCCAAGGTGTCCTCCAAATAGGTAACTGTGGGGGAGGCTCAATATGGCTTTTTGATGTTTTCATGACACCACAAGTTGACGTCTCTCTTGCTCCTGCATTTGCACCACACGGTAGAGGAGATCTTTCTTCACTATAAAGTAAGGTCCTGGACCCCAGACCTTCCCCTCCATGGGTATCCCATCTATCTCGGCCACCTCTTTCCTGACGATATATCTAGGGTCCTCCGCCTGGTCCCGTCTGAAAGTCTCTCTCCTGGGACTAACCTTCCCAAGCTCCCAGGGGCCGGCTTCTGCTTCTTCCAACAGGTTGCCGCCATCATGGCTGGGGCCAGCCTCCGGCTCACCTTCGGTGGTAGTAGTTTCTCTGATGGCTGCTCGTGTCCATCTGCCTACTAGGGCGGTCTTCTGGATCCGGGTTCCCAAAGCTTTCACAGCCTTCCTCTCTTTTTCTGTCTTCTGGGTCTTTTGGGGAGCTAACAGATCCTGAGAAATCTCAGCGAACATCGGGGGTTGACATTCCCACGGCCACAAGTCACTGCCATCAGCGTCCCCACCTCCCTCCAGCCTCTCCAGGGGGAGTAAATTATCAAACCCTGGATAATCCCTCCCAATGACTACAGGATATGGGAGTTTAGGAACTATGCCCACTGTCACCTCAATGGGGTTCCCCTGAACCTCTATCTCCGCCGGGATGGTGGGGTAATGGCTCACGACCCCATGCACGCAGGTCACTGCTACGTGTTTGGCTTGTAGCAGCTGGCTTCTTTTCACCAGCTTACCTGATATAAGGGTGATAGCACTCCCAGAGTCCACAAGCGCTGTAGTTTCTGCTCCATTTATCTTCACCGGCCTGGTGTAGTTATGCAGGGCTAATGTGACGCCCGCAAGGCAGATAAGGGAGCACGGGACCTCCCAATCCCCCAAGTTACATTGCACAGGCTCCTCAGTGCTGGGACACTGTGCTGCTATGTGTCCCCACTCCCCACATGCATAACAACTATAATTGCTTCTAATCACTCCCCTATCACGGGGGTTAGGAGGTTTAGTCCCAGGGTTCCCCCCCACTCAGGCCAATCCCTTCCTTCTGGGCTCCCCGCTGGTTTTCAGCCCCCCCCTTCCATCTAGGACTCCCCAGGAGTTTGGCTGCCCGACCTTTCAGGGTTGGGGTCAGGTGCTTGCTTCGAAAGGGGCCTTCCTTGGCTAGTCGGGTCAATTCCCTGGCTGTCATGCGTCTTTCTACCAGTGTGATCATCTCATCACAGGTGGACGGATCGTTCTGGCTTACCCATTTGTGGAGATCTGGTGGCAGTCCTCGCATGTAATGGTCCATGAACAGGGTCTCCAAAATCTTCTCTGGGCTGCACACCTCGGGCTGTAACCACTTCCGCGCGAGGTGTATGAGGTCGAATAGCTGGGACCTCGGGGGTTTATTCTCCTGGTACTTCCACTCATTGAATCTCTGGGCCCGTACTGCTGCCATCACCCCTGATCGTGCTAGGATCTCTGCCTTCATAGAATATCAGGGTTGGAAGGGACCTCAGGAGGTCATCTAGTCCAACCCCCTGCTCAAAGCAGGACCAATCCCCAGACAGATTTTTGCCCCAGATCTCTAAATGGCCCCCTCAAGGATTGAACTCACAACCCTGGGTTTGGCAGGCCAATGCTCAAACCACTGAGCTATCCCTCCCCCCTTCAGTCGGGTATAGTCAGTGGCATCCGTGGCAGGCAAGTCAAAGTAACCCTTCTGGGCCTCTCTGCACAAAAAAGGGGCAAGAATGCTGGCCCACTGCTCCTGGGGCCACGGCTCACGCTGAGCAGTCTTTTTGAATGAGAGGAGGTATGCCTCTACGTCATCTTCTGACGTCATCTTTGGCAGACAACCAGTGGCCCTCAGGGTTCATGTCCCGTCAGACCTCCGGGCATGGGTGGTGAGGATCTTCAGCTGGTCCACTACCTCTAGCAAGAGGACACGATCTTGGGTCGCCTGGCCCATTACTAATTGGTTCATTTCCTGCTGTAGCCACATAGACTCCTGTTGCGCCATTGCCTGAACCAGGGTGGCCTCCTGCTGGGCTGCAGTGGCTTGTACCAGAGTTCTTACCACCTCCTCCATTGTGGTACAAAGCAAACAAACAAACAAACAAAAAAACCCCAAAACCCCTGTGAATTTTTTTTAAAACCTCTTTCTTCTGCCACGCTGTGAATGATGATCCCACCCAACGCCAGTTATGACAAAGCTCTGTCCTTGTCTCCGTGGGTCCCGCATTTCTTGGCGGATTTCGCTAGCCTCAGAGGCTCACTGTGATCCTCCACGTAGCCTTTCTCTCTGTCTAGAGGCAAGGGTCACAGCTTACTGAGCCATTTTCATCATGAGCCAGAAAGGAAAGTGAGGAGAGGCAACCCTTTCTTGCACAGTCTGTTGTCTCTCAGTCTCAGTGATTAATCGGGAAGAGGAGCGGGGAGCCCAGGCCCGCCCTCTACTCTGGGCTCCAGCCCAGGGACCCTAATAGTGTCAGCTATGGTAGCTGACTTTTTGGAAATAGGACATGTACAATTCCCTGGGCCACTTCCCCACAGCAGCTCCCACTCAATATCTCCTTCACCGTTACCTCAGGGCCTCCTTCCTTGCGCCTGATATGGATTTGTACTGCTTCGTTCCTCTAACAGCACAGCTTCCTCCTACAGCTCCTGACACGCGCACCTCACTGACTAACTGGGAGGCTTTTAACTTGTTCCAGCCAGCCCTTGATTGGCTTCATGTGTCCCAATCAACCTAGCTATCTTAGTTGGCCCCAGGTGTCTTGATTAACCTGGAGCAACTGCCATTTGGTTACCATGGTACCAGGGATTTGTTTAGCCTGGGGCTAACATACCTGTTCCTCACTACTTTACTATAGCCATCTGGCCTCGCCTCATCACAAAGGGTAGAAATAATGGTGGCACAAATATCGTATATTGAAAAGGAAAATTCAGAATACCGCAAGGTGGAGGCAGGAGTCAGTAATGGATTGGTTAAAGCCCCCTTAAAGAAGTGCTGTACAATGATGTATACTGTATACAGGTACTTGTGTTATTTAACTTGACTTCATTGCATTTGCCAAAAGGATTGTGTCCACCATAGCTTGGCCAATTGTATGGCAAAATGATAAAGGACCATTAGAAAGACTTTGTGATAGAAATGCAGAAGTAAAAGCACTCAAATCAATTCAAAGGCAAAGCCGACGGAGCCTATCCACCAGTGATATAACAGGGTGGTTTGTAGAGAGAGCATCAATCTGAAACCAGGTGGACATTGAGACCATATGGGAACACGATCGATCATTCCAACACAAGCTGGCTGCAGACATACAAAGCCCAATGAATGAGCAAAGCAAAGAACTTATTAATCAAGAACTTTTGAATGTATATATGTGACACTCTGTACCTCAAAGCAGCATCCTGGCACTCCATATTCACCATGGTGATATGATTAAGGATGTTTTGTTTTGGACCTTGACCTTGAAGGACAAGAAGTGCGGGCAGTGAGGAAGCAAGATTCTTTGCTTTAGGATGCAATAAAATTGATGCCTTAACAATCTCTCCCTGACTGTCTTTCGAGACCCACCCTCACCGCGACCCTCCTGGCCAGTGGCAGATTAGCCACTGGGTCCAGGGGCCCTGGCCAATGGAAGAGGGGAGGGTCCCCAGCAGTGGAAGCCCAAAGTACCAGCCGCCAAGACCAGAGAAACTCCTGCCCCCATAGCAGCAGTGCCCTGACCCAGTCAGCAGCCGCAGGACAGGAGAGGCTCCTCCCACTAGCAGCCACTGACCCCATCAGAAGTCATGGGGCAGCAGGACAAGCCTCCACTCCCAACCCACTCTCCAGCAGAAGCGCCAGGCCAGGAGAAGCCCCAGGGCCCTGACCCTGGTCCCCCGCAGAAGTGCGGGGCGGAGGGGGGTGGCAGGGGAAGCCCCAGTACCCAGACCCCCGCTGCAGCCCTGGGACTGGAGGAGCTCTCACTCCCCACTGCGGCCCCAGGGCCATGGGGACAGAGCTTCTCTGGGCTTGGGGCTGCAGTTGGGGGGTGGGGAGGTGCAGAAAGGAGGAAAAGGGGTTGCTGTGCTGCAGTGGGGGGGCAGAATGGAGGGGAAGGGCAGAAAGGGGTGGGGCTGTTGGCAGGGCTGCAGGCAGAAGGGGTGGGGAAGGGCCCCCCCAGGAAACCTTAATCCGCCTCTGCTCCTGGTTGAGAAACACTGAACTAAACAAACAATCTTGTTCTTGAATGCAGCAGAAGTGATTGCTGTCCAACTCTAAAGCTGGACAAATCTAGGTGAGGTGACCACATACCCTCTTAGTGGGCACAAGTTTATTTTAGGCCCCAATCTTGCAAAAAACTTTAACTATGCATGTTGTCCCATCAGCAACAAAAATACTTGTGCACTTAAAGAACCTGCATGGATTTGCAGGATTAAGGCTAAATTTGAACTATGCATTACAAAAGTCATGAAGTGCTTTGAAATCTACTGATGTCAAGTACTACATAAGAGGTAGGTATTGTGTGATTCTACCTAAATTTTACTAGATGACAAGCTTTCTAAGTTTTATTAAAACTTTCCAGAAGAAAACAAAATACAGGACTTCCCGCAATGAGGAAAAGGAAGCCTGGAATACTAAGGCAAAAGCTCTGATAGTAAAAGGAAGCTCTCTAATCAGAATGTCAAGAATTCCCCAACATACATCAGTTAAGTAAGGCCAAAACTGAATTTCAAATACTTTAAAATGTAAACATGTATTTGTAATGTAAATGGGCATGTCGGTGACTAGGAAAAAAAATCTGCTTTAATTGTCAAAGTCTGATCCTGCAGACACTTACATACACAAACTTTCCACATGTTGAAGTTCAATGGCACTATTTATATGCGTAAAATAAATTAAGTGCATAAGTGTCTTCGGGATCATGCCATTACTTAACTTTTAAACTTGAGCACAGATCTAATTAAAGGAAGGGAAACAACCTGAAGTTAGGAATTAATAATATTTAGTAACAAAGCAGACCAAACAGTAGATGGTGCTATAGTTGCATGTCTTGTGAAATCAAGTGTTCAAAATGCTCTTCTACTTAAGTCTTTTTTCTGATTTAAAAAAAAAAAAAATCTGTATAATGGTAGTGCCAGGAGAGTCTAATCAGCCTATACTCTCCGGCGCCAATCCTTCAAAGATTTACACATGCCTTTAAATCAAAGGGACTATTCCTTGGCATTAAGTACATGCATAAGTGTCTGCAGAACCCTGCCTAAACAGACAATAAGTCGAGAAAGCCAATTTCTCCCATTCATCAGCAGGCTTCAAAAGAGTGTTTCTTTGGACAATGAGGCTGTATTATGTTGAGGCCTCTGGTTAATTACAGTAAGATTCCAAAATCTACTGCCAATGAAAGTTGTGGATTTAATGTATTACTTTAAAAAGCAAAGCAATTATGCATATTTGTCCTGTCAATACAGGATTTTTTAATCTAAACAGTGGTAACACAATTTCTTGTCATTTGGTAAATTGCAACAAATATTGTATTTAATTCAGTGCCATTGTTTGCACTTCTAGATAAAAAACCTCAAGATCACCACCCCATGGTACAATTATTTTATTTCTAGACTTGGCAAGAACTAGAGCTTTCCTTGGCTGACTAGATATCAAGCCTGCCTTGTTCAGGACAAATCTCCAGCATGTTTGCATGACTTCAAGAGTTGAACGTCTAAAACTAACATCAGGTTGCCTTAATGAAGGCACAGAGACATAGTTTTTATTTACCCATAAAATTTTAACTAGAAAGTGGAGTACAAAGAACAGGTTTTGCCTGACCTACTCGTACAGGTTGGGATACTGAATATGTGAACAATATATAATCACATTTTCACCCATGGCAAGATTTAAAATTTCACTGGTATCATTGTGGAATGCACTGGAATAAAGCTGAAGCCAGTTTAAAACAGCCTATGTAGTTTGTAAGTAAACAGAGAAGACTTGGTAACTCCAATGGTTTTTGTGGAAGTTACTGTATAAATAAGGGAATTCTTGTACAATTCTAAGAAAGGCCATGTGCACAATGGAAGGAATTGTTAGTTCTGAAATTAATTTGCATTTAACATTTCAGTATTTAATACAATTAGTTGGAGGCTTCCACCACCTCTCTTTTAAAGCAGAAGTTTTTCGAAAACTCAGTTATTTTTTGTTGTAATTTGGTTTAGCTCTGCTAGCATTTCAAGTTCTGTCCGCAGAAAGCGAGTAACTTTTGTTTTTGGGTGATATCTGAATAGCTGTACAAGAGTTCATGACCCCTGGACTGACTGCCCAATTCTGTTCCCTATGCTGGTTGTCACACCAAACATTTGCAATTCCCTACACCTCTTCTAAAGGAAGAAGTCATTTAATAGCACCCACCAGTGTACATACAGGGGACAATTCCGACCATAAGGCCCCAATCCTGCAAACCCTTGTGCATAACTTGCGCATAACTAACAACAACAAGGAGTATGGTGGCAGATTTATTTGGGCATAAGCTTTTGTGGGTAAAAACCTCACTTCTTCAGATGTATAGAGTGAAAGTTACAGATGCAGGCATTATATACTGACACATGGAG